TCCTGCGCATATATTATGAAACACCCTGTATATATATAATATATATTATATATATATATATATATAATATTATATATATATATATTAGGGTGGCCCAAAAAAATAAGAATATTTTTTTTCTCTTGTCTCTTGTGAAAATATGTTGGTTTGTCATGTTTTAAGAGCCCTGTCAACAGATTAGCTCCATTAAAAATTTTTTAGGGGTCGCTCAAGATTTTTAAAAATTTCCAAAATCGTCAAAAATTGGATTTTTTTTTATTTTAATTTTTTTTCTCGTTCCGATATTATTTTTTAATTTAAAAATAATAATTATTCTGAAAATTTCAAATGGATATTTTGATTTCTAAAGGTCGCTCAAGATTTTTTTAACTTTCAAAGTAGAGTATTTTGAATGTTTTCGAGCGACCTCTGAATATAAATACCAACGAACTTTTAGCGACCTTTAGAAATTAAAATATTGATTTGATATTTTCAAAATTTTTATTATTTTGTACCAAAAAAATAATATCGACACAAGAAAAAAAATTAAAATAAAACAAAAATTCAATTTTTGACGATTTTGAAAATTTTAAAAAATCTTGAGCGACCCCAAAAATTTTTTTAATCGAGCTGATATTTTGACAGGGCTCTTACAGCATGATAAACTAACATATTTTAACAAGAGACGAGAAAAAAAAGATATTCTTTTTTTTTGGGCCACCCTAATATAAATATATATATATATATATATATATATATGACAAATGGAGATAATTAAAAAAAACAATAAAAAAGTAACCCGCCATGGGACATTTATGTTTCATTTAATTATTTGTTCATTTTTACAGTCTTTATTTATATTTAAAAACAAATATAATATCTATTTGTTTTAATTATTACATTAAAAAAATTAAATTTGTTAAATAACTTTGTTTTCTATTGTAAACGACAGTTTATTATTTATTAATATTGATTGGAGCGGATGCCGAGTCTACGGTGCGCGGTATCGCGCTTTACCGAAATGGCTCGCGCTCGGGGATAAAAAAATTCATATTGTTTAAACTAATAGCGGGCAGTGGAATTTTTTTGCAGAATATTTAACTAAAGTGTACAATGCATGTAACTGAAATAAAACAAATTTATAATTTAAGGGAGAAGTCATTAAGATTTTTATATGTTTATTTAAAAGTTAATTAAAAATATAATAAATATAATAATAAATAAATAATTTAAAATTTTGAATTGATTTTCAAAATGTGAATAATAAACAATAAATCCTAAAAATTTCATTAAAATATCTGTAACAGTTTTTCTGTTATCTATTTTTTAATTAAAAGTCTCCCAAAATTTCATTGTAAAAAAAATTGCTGTTAAAATGAAAATTTTAAAAAACTGTTTTAGGGTTTCATTATTAATGGTGACTACTTTATATTAAAATATATTTATTTGAATTCCACGATCAAGTGGGAAATGGAGGGTCCACTTGAGGTGATCTTACTCAAAGCAAGCACATCATTTAAAAATTTAAAAGACAAAATAAGTTTAATGTTAGGGGTAATTATTTTACAATGAAACCAAAGAAAGTAAAAATCAATTGATTTCAAGCATTCAGATTTTCAATCAGAAAAAAAAACAGCAAAGATATTTGATATAATTAAAATGATAGTAATTTTATCTTAAAAAAATATATTATTTTTTAATTATATCTTTGTTATAGGTATGTTAACCTTCTGAATTTATTTTTTGATATATATTTACAAACAAAAATACTGTCTATTTTTATCCATATTTTAAATCAGTCGTTAACGTCTAATATAAATTTTATCAACCAATATACATTTAAGATGATTTTATTGGCCAAAAACAAATCTAGTAAACCATGACTTATATTAGCAAAATTATTTTCTATGGTTAAAAGCAAATGTCAAATAAATCTTGATGAAATTTTAATTGTTTTATGTCTAATTTAAAATGTCAATGTATAGAAATTGATTTTTTTGTTATGATTATACTGTTAAATGTTATATATATACTTATATCAAAATTTATTGTAAACTCATCGGCTGAAGGACTACGGTCAATAGCCTTTGAACTTGGTTTTAGTTCAATAAAGCATTATTATTATTATTGATTTTTTTAGGGAAAATATAAACGTTGAAAGATAATTACCCAATTTATTTTATAAAACAACAGTTTTTAAAGAAAATTACTACTTTGCCATGTCGTGCAAAAACCTATATCCACTTTCGGACCCGTGAGCCGGTTCGTTTAATTTTCGTGAACGGTTCACGTAGATCACTTATAAGACCCGGTTCACTGAGCCGGTTCAGATCTGACCGACACATATCTAGTTACATTTGCGCACGTTGTCATGGTAAAAAATACGAACTTTATCGCCGTCTCCTTATATAAATAATTGTCGGTTTTGATGTAATTACATTTAATTTTTTTATTCCTTTAACTTTACAGGGGCATCTTAGTTGTTATTTTAAAGATGTAAAATGACACGCCACTACCTTTATTTCGTTTTGATATTTGTTTAAGATTAAACAATCAAAAATAAAAAATTTTACGCATTTCGATTTGTATTAAGAAAAACATTTTTTCCACACATCTAAAGCTGATAAATCTTAAAATTTAGGGATATTTAACAATGTAAAATAAAAAACTTTTATCAGGAAGTTAATAGTTAATAGGAATTTAAATTTGATTGACCCGGGCGAAGCTTGCGAGCGAGTGTTTAAAACAAAATGAGTGTTTAGAAAAGTTTATAAACGAGTTGTATACTATACTTTTTCAACAACAAATATTATTATAAAAATAGTTTATTACTTATTAATTTAAATACCTGTATAGAGCGACATCTACACGATTTCAAAACTTGGTGTTAGGAATCTGTTTTAACGGTTTTCAAGATGTCAGTTTGTAAGATTTTTGTGTGAAAATCTTCTTTGAAAATGGACTGCCAACTGTTTAAATCCAATATAGTAAAATTAAAAAAGAAATTTTTTATGGGTAATGTACCCGTAATTATTAATGAGATAATAAAATAATTTTCACATTTTAGTATTTTTTCACAAGAAGCGCACTTTATTTTGACGATTGTGACATTTGACCACTATGAGCTAACTAAAAGCTGATAACTTCAGCCCGTGACTAAGACTAAGTAAATTCAACTATACCAAAATTGTTAAAAAAAAATTAAGTAATGTTTTTAATGGAAATAAAACTATTCACAAAACTACTGATATTAAAAATATCAGGAACAGAATAACACGAAAACGTTTGGTATAGAAACGAAATAAGTATCAGTAACAAAACAGTATCAAAACTAAAGTATAGATACGAAATTAGAAATTGAGGTATGAAATGGTAACAAAAATTTAAGAATAGAAACGAAAAGATTTAAAAAAATGAGATTTATTGGGGAGAGTGTCATTATTTATGGTATTGACCAATTGCAAATAAAAAAAAATCATGTGCTCTTAGACCACACAGCTGAAGTGAAACTTTTCCCATTTTTTTATTTTTACGATAATTATGAATATTAATTTATGGGCAGTTTTACATGATCCGGTTTTAAATAAGGGCAGTTTGCAATTTTTAAATTTTTGAGAGGTGTCAAATGTCAATAATTTTTCTACATGAACACCAGAAGTCTATTTCCGTTATCATTTCGTTACCCACGTATCGTTATAGAGTATTGATAGTTTTCGTTACCATCCCTATAGCGTTTCGGATTCATTAACGCGTTACTCGCAACTGAATTTCGTTCCATTTTGTTTTCATTTCTTTACGATTGTTGTTATTTTAAAATTTGGTATTTTTTTTGTACTGGTTAGAAATGTTGTTTCTATGTGCCCTGAAAAAATCTCAGCTTCTAGAAAAAAATATCAAATTTAAAATAAAAGTTGCCGAAACCAGAAAAATCGCCATTTTCACTTTAATTATTTTTGAGGGTCTTACTTTAGTAATAACAATAAAGAATAAATATTTTCATTGGAAAGCTGATAATTTTTCAAAACAGAAGTTTACTGTTTGTAGTTTTATAAAAAATGTTTCCACTCGAAATATATTAACGAAAGTATATCGGCAAAATTCGAAAAGTCATTAGTACGAAAGTACAAATCTATATTGAGTCATTACTATGATGTAGAGAATGACTCAACAAAATTTGGTTAAATTAGAGAAAAATCTATTTAAATTGTTTATGAAAATTTTAAAATAATTATTATTAAATAATTATTTAATAAGTCTTTTTTTTCACCACCAGCGGCGCTGATTGTTGATGCGTACTGACGTCTGCTCTTTTGGTAGCGTTTATTAGTACAAATTAAACAATTGTTTCAGAACAAACGGAACACCAGCGCCCTGCCCTCTTTATCTTAGGAAAATTCTTGTTTACATGAAGTTCAGACTCCTTGTGTACCCTCCATGTCAGCGGTTCTCAAATAAATTTAAAAAAAAAATGAAAACCTCTCAAAATCAAAAATTGTTTTAACGTTATTCCTACGAATTTTGAAAAAAGTAAGTTTTAGATGTGAACATACATTATCTAAAACTTCATTGGTGACTTTTTTCGCCTACTAGGTTTTGAGTTACCTACCAACACCATCTTTTGTTTTTCCTATAGCTGGAATATTGGAATTTTTTAAGGCTTAAAAAAATCAAGGAATCCAACGATGTATCAAACTTACTACATAAGTTATGGCGGCCATTTTAAACTAAAAGATAGTGATGGTAATTCAATATGTAGTAGAAAAGAAATTGGATAAAAATGTAGATCAATGTAAACTTACTTTTTTTTAATATTTCCACGAATAACGAAGTTATAACGATTTTTGGTTTTGACAGGTTTATAGTTTTTTTTTTAAATATTTTGAGAACCGCTACTGTTTTTCCAATTTTCAAATTTAGTTTTAATAGGCTTATAATTACCCAACCTATCTCTGATATAACCGACCTTGTAGCTTTTTAAATTAAAAAAATACCCATGCACCCTGTATATATTATTATCTTACCAAATAATCTTCATCGCAATAAGGGTGTCCATCTAAAGCATAAAAAGGCTTCCCTTGCAAATTAATTTGGCAGTGATGGCACACAAAGCAACTTGTGTGATACAGCTGATCCATAGCAGTGCACCCGCTATTTTCGCCGATAATTTTCTCCCCGCACTTGATACAAACTCCGTAGACGTCCTCTTGATCTTCGGCCTCCTGACCGCCCATACCTTGCACCAGCAGATTCGTCAGACTGTCAACTTCTTGCTCTTTATTGTGCCCCATGCGGCTCACCGATTGGCTGGGTCCCGTCAAAGTGCTACTGTTTCCAGAGACGTAAGGCGCGTAGAGAGAGTAGTTAGATCTGGACGACATCTGACTCGGTGGTCGCGGGTTTATTGGCTCGTAAATTGACTCGTAAGTCGATGATGACTAAATAAACGAATATTAAAAAAAATTACACTTTTTTAAGGATAGGCTTTTGAGATGGGAATTTTTAATTTTTTGTGTTCTTTTTAAAAGCAGCATCAAAATTTGAGCCACATCTCTAGTTAGAAACTAACAATCTGGTTGCAAAAGGTGTCAAATTAAACATAATCAAATCGCCGACAAATAATTTTCTTAAGACCAAATTTAGTTGAGTAGTTATAGCCCAAATATGGACACAAATGAGAATGCAATATTTACTTTCTCCTTTCGCCAAAGTTACGAGTTATAACTTATGACCGTTCATGTACAGAATGATTCAAAGTCAACCTTTATTTTCTACCAAAAATATATAGAAAGAGACTACTGCCACGCCGCATTGTGTCTAATTACCATAAAATTATTGTTACGCCGCGTTTTTTTATTAAACACAACTTTTAATTAAGGTTTTACAAGTATCTCAGGCGGGCTTGGCTAGTGCCTCAGTACCATTCCGCGCGCGTCCAATCGTGGTGACGCACTAGCCAAGCACGGGTTTAGTTCCCGGTAGCGGAATATTTTTTTCTTTTAAAAATACTCCACTTAAAAAATGCTTTTTTATTGTCAAATTAACTTAAAACAAGCGACACTACTTTTTTAAATTTTCACTCCAAAAAATAATCCAATTTAAAAAAAAATTCTTGTCATTGCAAATGAAGGGTAACATTGTAGCGATCTTGTAGCAATATTGCCATTTACTTTCGCACTGTTTGCAAAATATCGCACAATGAATAATATTATAAACGGATCGGAATACAAGCATAAACAATATCGTGAATATACTATAAAAGAAAGTTATTTCGACTCTCTAATATGTCATAAATATGGGTTATTTTCAAATTTCTTGTACATTTGATGTCCCTTAACTTTAATATTTTATAAAAAATTTAGTTTAACGCCATTTGGAACTTTAATAAGCGAAATCTATTGGTTTAAGTGTTTTTAGCAACTATATATGAGCAAAATGTAAAATTTTAAATTTATCCCTATAAAAAATTAAACTTTCCCCAACAGTACAGAAAAGTAGCTGTCCCACTTTTGTTCCCCTAGGTCACGTCTCCTGGGTCACAGCTTTTATAAATGACCTTTTGAATTGAGCGCACATTTTTTGGTGCTGCCCCCTTGCGGCAATGTATTTGGTAAAGGATTTTAGTAGGAAATGGTGTTTTCTGACAGTACGTAGCCAATTTAAAATAATCTCCACCTTTTTAATAGTAATTTTCCTAGTCAATGTATTTTGCCTCAATTGAGGCAAAATACATTGACTAAAGAAGCTGTAAAAAAATTATTTGGTAGTTCAACAAAACAATGTTTAAATTTGTGGTTAAGGTGTTAAATAACACCCCTAAATAAACAAAATTTGGAAAAAAACAGGTTTGTAGATTAAGTTTTTGTTTTTAATTTTTCTTCTTTAAATGTAGGTACAAGAATTTTGAAAATGACCCATATATAGGGAATTGGGGGCCCCGCAAAAGCCATTTGCTAGTGCTATGTGGTCTGGACCCCTGTCTAAAAGGGGCCCCCGAAAATATGGGGCTGCTAAAGGTTGGCAGCAAAAGTAAAGAATTATATAGGCTAGGTAACGCTCTGTATCGTGGTGTTTAAAGCACCCGACTACAAACCGTTGATCTGTAGGTTTAGTTCTCACAAGCAAACATCCGTCGCCACGAATGTTTGCGTGTGACTCATCACGGGCTGCCGTCCGAAACAATGTTACAAGACATACGCGTGAGAAAAGTTGCCGTTGCATCGAATGTAAAAGACAACATAACTGCTCGCATGTCGATGATATATTAAGCGCGCAATGAGTCACACGCAAACATTAGTGCAGCATTGCATGGAATGTTGCCAGCGCAGACACAGATACATTGCAGCACTGTTGCAATCTTACAGTGAACTTGCTGCAACATTGCAGAAATTTTTAGTGATTGACCACCGCCGACGGTGGATTAGTGGAAAGGGCCGCTGACTACAAGCCAAGAGGTCGTGGGTTCGTGTCTCACATTGTTTATTTGTGTTTGTCCTATTGTGTATAAGTCGTTCGGAAGGGACTTTAAACCGGTTGTCCATTCCTACCCCTAATCCGCACAAGCCATTTAGTTGGCATCTTGTACTTCTTGGGACGCAAGGGTAGAGAACCAAAAGAGCAAAAATAAATGTAGCCTACAAAAGGAGTACAAACTCAATATGGCAAATTGCCAGAGCCTGCCTACGTGCTTAAATCGCACAAATTACGTGTTTATTTTTCATCACTAGCGGCGCTGATTTACATTTTGTACTGTCTACTGTTTTGGTACAAAACAAACAACAAACAGAACGCCAGCGCCCTCTTATTTTGAAAAATCATTTGTATACATTGTACTTCTTGTGTAGCAGTACTTATCTGTTCACAAACATCGTTATTATTGGAGCTACAAAGTCGGTTAAATTAGCAGATTGGTGGTGGAATTTTCCTCTATGATTAAAATAATTAAAACAGAAAAACAATTAAACGTCGGGTTTTCGAATTATTCACAAAAATAACATTTTAAAGAACCAAATAATATGGAAAATAAAATATAATTGCATAACTACGCTAAACCCTTTTTGTGTCCCATTAAAAAAAAAAGTGAATATTTCGGAAACCTGACGTTTGAATGTTTTTCTGTTTTCACCATTTAAATCAGAAATAATAATGCCACTAATTTGCTAATTTAACCAAATTTAATTGTAAATTTATTGCATGAAACAACATGAATAAAGTAAAAGTCAAAAAAAAAACAAAAACTTTTTGCTACTTGTACATTTGAGCCAATTGCACTTAAACGTATCAACTGATATTGGTCGGCGATTCGATTATGTTTATATTGATGATACCTTTTTAACTCAAGATATAGCAAATTGTAAAGCTGCTGAAAAAAAATTAAAATTCATACTGTAAACTTGGGTAACTTAAGCCACCCTGGGGGACTTTTGTCAGTATTTGTTTAAACTGCATAGATTTGCAATTAAAATTTTAATATTGTCATATTTCAATTTTTTTACACTAGTGTAAGTATCAGGGCAAAAGTTATGAGAAAAAAGGTGATTTTTTTACTGCCAAAAACTTTCTTTTTATAGAGTACACTAGTGACGTCTAGGATCTCTTCTTTTTATTGATGTTATGTTTTATAGGTGTCGAATTTATAACATTCAAAAAATATATGTTAGTGGTCAAGTCGCGTATCTTTGAATTTTCATCGAAAAAAAGGGTGTCCAAGGTGGCCTAACTTTGGTCACCACCCACAACTTTTAAAAGTAGCAAAATTTAAAGATTTGGTGTACTTGAAGTACTATAAAGGACGTATCAAATGACACCAAAAAAAGTAATTATATATATCCTGTAAAAAGTTACAGAACCTAAAAGTTCAAAAGTTGATCAGTCACCCAAGTTTACAGTACCTTGAAAACATATCCATAAAAATGTATTGCGATTTTTAAGGTCAGCAGGCCAATTAATATACATTAGAAAAATGTACATTTTGGTTGTTAACCAGAGTTATTGACCAAAAAAGCGTATAAAAAGCATAACAATTACCTGCGACATAGCCCCATATCCATATAGCGAATCAGTATCACCATACTGAGGTTAGCATTAGAAAAATGAAAAAGCATTAGTTAAAAATAGAGAAAAAAAGAAAATATGAACTTAACACAGGTGTAAAATTTTGCACTGGACCCATCCCATAAAAGTTTTAATATAAAAATAAGATTTAGTTCTAGAAACCTTTTTATGAAAAAATATGCAGTTTTACAAGAAACACTTTATTTTTGGTGATATTTGCATGAAACATTAAAAGAATTACTTTTAACGCAATTCTATAAATAAATAAATTTTATTGTTTTTTAATCACATAACTCAAAATAAACTCCCTTATTACATGGTGTGATTTCAGTGCGCCATTTTTGTGCCACCCTGTTTACTAAACTAAATTAGATGTATTTTGACAGGTTACAAATGACAGTTTAAACGTCAAAAACGACATTTAAAATGTCAAAGTGACACTTAAAATGTGAAAAACTGTGAAAAACTACAAAGAAAACTTTCACCCAATGAAAATAAAAAATACCTGTGATCCCATGCTGTAGTTGTGAAAATCTTGCTCAGGTTGCGTGGCCCTCCTTAATTCGCTGTAGCTCGAACTGACTGGGGACGGAGGGGGCATAAGGTCCTCGGGTGGTGGGGGAAGGTTAGTGTTGACGGAAACAGGGGCGTAGTCGGGCATATTTGAACACAAATCCAGAGGGGGAGGGGGAGGCGGCAAATCATCTAAAATAAGTAAGATCTTTCTGAACCTTTTTAGTACTAGTTGAGAATAGTACTAGAACATTATTATAAATGTATAATTACAAAATTATAAATTGTTATAAAATATATTTTTAAATTAAATTTCCAATAGAAAAAATAAAATAGTTTTGAGTTACGCTGTATAATATTTAATACATTGTAAATATTTTACATCTGGCAACATTGCCATTGATTTATTTATAAAATACATTCTAAGCAATGTCAGAAGAGCAAAATATACAAACAAAACTTACCTCCATTTGCATAGACATTACCCCCCTGTTGGGGTAAGTTGCTATACATGTTACCCTCCCTCGGAGGATGCATTAAGTTACTATAAATCAATCCATCTTGATTTCTTGATTGTGCTGCTTGTATATTACTGTAAGTAACATGATCAGGCTTAACATACCCCTTTGGCCCCATATTATTAACTACAGGCCTATTTTTTACCCCACTTAGGTTGGAAGTGCTTTGCAACGTTGCCATGTTGCTGCTGTACACCGCTCTTTGCGGCTGGGGTAAGTTTGAGTATTGCGCGTTGTTACCCTCATGTGGTAAGTTCGCGTAGTTGTTGTCAGGGTATTTTGTAGTGTTGGAATAGTGCGGTTGCGTGGGTAGGTTGGAGTATAATTGACCGGTTAACCTCGAGGAGTAACTCGGTTCTATTGTTTGTTTTAAGGGGTAAGATTGTGGTATCTGAAATTAAAAAATATGATATAGAGCAATGATTTTTAATAAAAATCAGGGATAAGGATAAAATTATCTCAACTCGCTCATGATTAAAACCTATTTCGATTTATGAAGTATTACTCTCTAGATGAGTTAAACTACGCTCGATTGGGGTTTCATACTTTAAGGATTTAATACTTGCAATAGCAAAACAATTCCGCTCTTTACAAATAATAATATCATTTAATTATTATTATTAGCTTATTATACAGACTGTATAGAATCAAGTAAGTAAGGCTGGAGACAAGGATGACAAATTATATTCTGATCAGAGAAAAAGAAACAAACTTTAATTGGGCGTGGTTTAAACCAAGCCATTCGTAATTACGAACCATAGTTGCCAGGTTGTTTTAAATCAGAAGAGAACGATTATAATTATTTAATAAATAGTTCAATTTTATTTGTTTGAAACTTTAAAAATAACAAAAAAATTAATAATATGTCAAAAATAATTTGATTTAGTTAATTTTCTTACTTTTAATATTAAAAAATAAGAAAAACAACCCTTTTAGGAAACAATAATAGCATTCGGCAACAGCGCGGCATGCAGACAAATACAAGGGCATGCAGTTTGATCTACTGTGTTTGCAGTGTTGCCAACTCGTGGGAAATTTCCCGATTCGTGGGAAATTTTAAGTGCCAAAGGGAAAAGGGAAATTTTAACATAAAATCCTATATTCGTGGGAAATTGTAAAGTCCAATCAATTTTCAACTAAAACAACTAGAAAAGAAAAGTCCAATCAACATTCATGAAAAAAAATTACCGAAAAAATGTTTACTATAGTAGTATTATACCTATAATAGGTACTACTTTTTCTTTTAAAAATAACAGCAAACATATCAAGTTTGTGGACAGCCAAAGTCAACAAACCAGCGGCCTAATAGTGACGTCACTGATGATGGGGATACATCCTGGCCATACGCTCTATGTGAATCGTCACAAACTTGCGTACATAGCTTTCCTGCTCTATGCTCGCTTCAAGTTTTTCTTACAATCAGCGTTGCCGGAAGGCCAATGCTAAATTCCTGGATTAACTAAAATCTATTACTGGAAATTACTGGCAAAAAATTTACGTTGTATTCCTGGCAGAATACTTTTGGTTTGCATACAATGCAGTTAATTTTTAATTTTATTTTTTTAGCAGGGTATTTATAAATACAGTGTATATACTCCGCATCACACTTGAATGATCTAAGTTGAATCACGCCATAAAAATTTTCGTTCCAACTTTCAAGTTTTTTACTGGTAAATTCCTGGTTCACATTCAATTACTGGCAAAACGGCAACCCTGCTTACAATTTGAAATATACTCGGGGATTTACAGAATTATCCGTGCGATTTGTAGCAATAAGTGGGCCTGTGTTTCTGTGTAGTATTTTTGTAAAAGCTGGTGAAGTATTATTTTATAAGCTGTATAAAACAAAAAGTGTTAGATTAAACTAGTTTTAATTTACAAACGCAATTCGTAATGTCTAGTTCATCAAATGAATGATTTAAAAAAAATTATCATTTTTTTAATTAAAATTTCTCCGTTTCTCAAAATATTGTATTTTTTTTCTTAAAAACAAAAAATACCCATGCCAAAATAAACTTTATCATTTTTAAAATTCGTGGGAAAATTTTCGTAAAAAAGGGAAATTTTTACCCTCTTTGTGGGAGATTTGATTCTCAAAGGTTGGCAACACTGTGTGTTTGTTCAGTAGCTCCGACGCTGTCGTAGGGAAATGTGTATAGTTTTTAAGAAATACATTTTCGCCATTAACTGGAATTTAATGGATTTTAAACAATACTTAGTTTTTATTTGCAGAAATGCATTAAAACAAAACAAACGAATTCGATAACTTGTTTTATTTAAGTGTATCTATTCGTTTTAATACACACTGTATATTAATAAAAAACATCAAAAATTGAAATAGCGAAATATCTTAATAATTTATTTTCTTTTATAGCTTTATGTTATAACCTACGGGGTAGTAGCCCCAATTCAAATTAGTAAATTTTTAAAAAGTCTTATTGATTTGTTTATAATTATATTTATAATATTTTTTAATAAGACCACTTCAAATTAAAACAAATTTTAAATAGCAAATTAAAGTTTCCCCTGCTGTCCCACTTCAAATTAATAAACTTTTAAAAAGTTTTAAAAGTCTCATTGATATGTTTATTATTATATAATAATTACAATCATAAAATAAATTGGGTTGGGCGGGGGGCATCCTGCCCCACCCCAAATTTTTAAACTTTTAAAATTGGATTTATATTTAAAAAATCGATAAAAAACTAGAAAACAAATAAATTTAGTCCAGGTATAAAAGAAAACCGCGTTGCCAGTAAAAATTGCCTGAGAGGTTATAAAAAATAATTTGAAATATTGAAATACCATGATAAAAAACAATTCATAGAATTTAGCAAATTCAATTAACTGGTGAACACTTTAAACAGTTACTTAATTATTAGTCCATATAATTAATACTAGTGCACAATCCACACAACAAGGTCTGTTTGATCTCGTAGTAAAAATAGTAAAAATCACTGCAACACTGCACATCATACGATGGCGCCAATTTTGTTGTTTACAATTCTTGTGCTTTGGGTTTGTACAGATTAATAATCGTTTTAAACGCTGTGTTTCTTACAGAGAGACTTGCAAGCCTTAAAAGAGACCTCAAAGTGGTAAGAACAATCATTTTACTCCTCTTTTGTAAAAAAATAAACCTTATTCTATCAGGGCTGACAAATGTCAATTTGAAGGTTAATTTAAGGTTATTTTATACAAAGTGACTAGGGGCACGTTAGAGTGCCTGCAATTGATTTTTTACGGGCACGCTAGTGACGTCATAATAATAATCCGGTTTTGTTCCCCGAACTTATAATATTTTTGTTGTGAAGCTAGATAGCTTAGATGGTAGGGCGGTTGCTTGGCATGCGAGAGGTACCGGGTTCGATACTCAGAAGTTGTCAAAATTTTTTTATTTTTTTATTTCATAAATTTGTTGCTTTTATGTTAAAAAGTGTTCGGTTGGGTTGGGTTTGTTGGTTTGTTTTGTTTATATCGTAACATAGAATCTACTAGAAGTTGTCGAACTCTTTTTATTTTTTTATTTCATAAATTTGTTGTTCCTTTGTTAAAAAGTGTTTTATTTTTATCGTAACATAAATTTGCCCATTTTAGTTGGGTTTTTTGCTCAATGGGGCGGGGGGGGGGGTCCAATGGGGCGGGGTCGGTTGGGTTGTGTTGTTGAGTTTGGGTTGGTTTGGTTTTATGACGTAACTAACGTGCCCTTAACATGTATATAGGTACAATTTATTATTATATTATTGTTGTGCCGCCAATTTTAAATTAAGCGGCACGGCAGTGATGATGTTTTTTATCTATTACGTCACTAGCGTGCCCGTAAAAAATAAATTGCAGGCACTCTAATTAGAGTTAACGTTAACGTGCACCTAGTCACTTAGTATTTTATAACCCACAAATTAACCTTCAAATTGACATTTGATAGAATAAGGTTTATTTTTTACAAAAGAGGAGTAAAATGATTATTCTTACCACTTTGAGGTCTCTTTTAAGGCTTGCAAGTCTCTCTGTAAGAAACATAACGTTTAAAACGATTATTAATCTGTACAAACCCAAAGCACAAGAATTGTAAACAACAAAAATGGCCGCCATCGTATGATTTCTAGTGTTGCAGTGATTTTTAGTATTTTTACTACGAGATCGAACAGACCTTGTTGTGTGGATTGTGCACTAGTGTTTATTTGTGTGTTATGACTTTTATGTCTATTTCTCTTAGTTAAACATATGCCTTTTTTCTTTTTATTAAAAAGTCTTATCTTTTAACTTTAAAATAGCTTAAATTTTAAATGCCGACCCGTAGAAGACGCCTACAATTGAGCGAAACACAAAAAGGCACTTCTCAGCTGCATAGCACACAACATTTTATCTTCAAGGCATAATTTTATCTATTAAATAATACATCTATTAAATAATACATAAAACGTTCAATTATAATAATTACACTGGTCAACAGCCATTTTGCCTTTGGGTGACCAGCAACTTTTTTAGGGTAATTTGGGTGCGCTGATTTCAATATTCATATTCATTTTACTTAATTGTCGAATTTTTGCTTAAAAATCAATTTTATTTCGTTAAAAATAGGATTTTTCAAGGGAGCTACTTTATGAATGTGTATAATACATTTTTCTTAAATTTAATTAGTACTTATAGCAACATTAACAATGATCATTGGCTTTAAGTATTTGATTAAAAAAAAGGAGTTTAAATGTTTGCTTATTGAAAAAAAACGTTTTTAACAATATCTTGAAAACAAGAGCTAATTGAGTAATATTAAGGTCATTTTTTAAATCAGCGCACCCTAAAAAAGTTGCTGGTCACCAAAAGGCAGACAAAAAGTTTAATTTTGTCGACCAGTGTTATTTGAAGTAGAGGTTAAATTAAATCTGACAGTAGTCGAATTTTTCGATTGGTCCAAACAGATTTTTTACAGACTAGGAGGTAAAAAACTGATTGGTCTAGTTATTTTTGATGCTAGATTGCGAGATGCCACTTTTGTTTTTGCAAAAAAAATTACAATCAAGTATCAAACAACATTTTATTGAAAACTATATCATACAATTGCTAAAAATGTAAAGGGAAAATTTTGAAACGGATGAAAAAGTATTTTGAGCACATAGCAACGAATGTAAAAGTATTTTCAAAATACTATTTTGCATACAAAGCAACCAATATAAAAGACTTTTACGGTTTGTAGACTAAAAACTGTTGTTTTTACACTTAATAAATATAATGTAAAAGTCGACTTTTAATGACAGTTTTCGAAAATATTAATTTGTGATGCTAGATTGTGAAATGCCACTTTCGCATTAAAGAAAGAAAGTTTTTTTGTGAGCAACAATGAGCAAAAAAAAATCATTTGAGAATGCAAAATAATTTTGCAATTGAAATTTACAAATTTAATAATTTTTGGGTAGGTTGGGGGGTACCTAATTTATAAAATAATAAAGATTTTTATTAAATATAATAGTTTGACAGGGGGTGGTTTATGCAATATTTTAAAAGAAACCAAATTTGTTATAATTTTTGGGTGGGGCAGCTGATAGTTTATAAAATAATAAATATATTAATAAAATAATGCATTTATGTTATAAACTACCCCCCTGCCCCACTACAAATTAATATATTAATAATTATAATTAGCAAAAAAACATAGCATTTATTAAAAAGTCTTATTAATACGACTTTTTATTAAAAAGTTTTTAAATAAATAAATATCTATTAAAAAGTTTATAATAAATAATTTTTAATAAAAACCCTTTTAGTATTTATTAAATGCCCTGTTTGGAATGTTTAATCAGCTACATAACATTTGACCCTAGGACAATATACCTACCCTCAAACCAAAATACCCAACGACAACATATCTGCAGACCAAAATACCTGCGACAAAATAACCGCAAACAAAACTTAATAATAAGATTTTATAACAACCCAAACACCCAACCATTCAGCCTATTGAAGACGATTATTTTATTGGTAAACTAACCAAACCCAATAAAATCGCTTTAAAAAATAAAAATATTAAATAAATAATAAACTTATTAACTTTTAACAACATATGGCAGCAAGGTGCATGTGCAAGATTTTTGTTTATAACTCTTTAAATGATTAAATCCTTACAGCATTTATTAGGATTAAATCACTAGATAAGTTAAAGTTCAGGTGGTTTAACTCTCGCGCAGAGCGAAAGTATTTTATGGCGTTTAAATATTGCTCAGAATAAATCATATGACAGACTCGAGTGTTCCCATCACAACCTCTCTTGGACAGCTTATTACTCTCTCTTAGATGATATCAAGTGATATATGTATTAGACTGGGCCAAAAAAATTGACTATTTTTTTTTTTGAAAAATATATCGACAATGTCATTCAGAATGACAAAAAAAATATTTCGTGAAAATTTGAGCCCTTAATATTAATTTTAAGAGGTCTATCATCACTATTTTTGATTTTTAGTCATAATTTGATGTTTTACGTTAGAACTGTCAAAATAATAAAGTGAAAAAAATTCCTTTTCACTTATTTTTATATAAAATTAAATTCTCTACAAAAAAGGTGGGATTGAAAATTTTCGTCAGACGAGCCGTTTCCGAGTAATTGAGCTTAATAAATCGATGTGTTTTTTTGATTTGCCCTTTTTATTTTGAAATTTTGTAACTAATGAATCAATGAATATTTAAAAAAGCTCACATTGGATTCTTAAAGTAAATTTAATGTTCTACAAAAAAGGTTTCTTAACATTTTTGCCTAAATTTAATTCTTCAAAAGTTATTCACTATTAAAATCGAAGAAAAACTTAAAATTTCAATTTTTTCTTCGTGAATAACTTTTGAAGAATTAAATTTAGGCAAAAATGTTACGAGACCTTTTTTGTAGAACATTAAATTTCCTTTAAGAAACCGACGTGAGCTTTTTTAAATATTCATTGATTCATTAGTTACAAAATTTCAAAGTAAAAAGGGCAAATCGAAAAAACACATCGATTTATTAAGCTCAATTACTCGGAAACGGCTCGCCTGACGAAAATTTTCAATCAGACCCTTTTTGTAGAGAATTTAATTTTATATAAAAATAAGTGAAAAGGAATTTTTTTCACTTTAATGTTTTGACAATTCTAACGAAAAACATCATATTATGACTAAAAATCAAAAATAGCGATGATAGACCTCTTAAAATTAATATTAAGGGCTCAAATTTTCACGAAATTTTTTTTTTGTCATTCTGAATGACGTTCTCGATATATTTTTCAAAAAAAAAAATAGTCAATTTTTTTGGCCCAGTCTAATATGTATATCTGTCAACCTTAAAATTTTCTGTAAAAAAAACCGAAAAAAGTTTTTTAAAATTGACTTTTGCATTATTTTTCATTTTATTCAAAGGATAATACAAAAACCAGCAAAATTATATTTTTAAAAATCTACAAATTTTTACGGATAATATCTGTACCAGTGTATCAGTGATAAAAAAGTGAATTTCCGACGCTGATTATAATCATATAATATTGTGATTTTAATAATTATTTCTTTTATTTTAATTCAGTAAGAACATTCAACCGGGCCGCAAACAAATATTTGACACATCGATTTATAAAATTATAATTTAACTTTATAAATCGTTCATTATTTCGTAATTAGATATTTTCAATGGGCTCCCATTTGCAAAAGGACCCAACCGATAGTATATTTAACGTTAACGTTTATTTTTTTAAATCAATTAAATTTAATTTATATTTTTTCTCTGTTGTAAAGGATTTTTTTAATATTAAAAGAATGTTAAGTTGTTTGTTCCACAATTTTTCCGTTTTTTTTCAACACTTAAGAAATATAAATAATGGCACTCTTAAACACTACACCAATTTACAATAATCAGGCCAATTTACTAACATGAGTTGTTAACGTTAACCACTAGAATCAGTGATTATCGGGCAATCCGTCCAATCGGGCAGTTTAAATATAATGATAACCACTGATTTAAGTGGCTAACGTTAACAACTTTTGTTAGTGAATTGGCCTGAATATTAGTTTTGAGATATTATAAAAAAATAAAAATTCACTTACTTGAGGTTGTGGTTTTTTGGGCTTAGGTGGGGGTGGGGGTCCGACTTTCTTCCCCAAAGTCCCTGAGTTGGAGGGTAAATCCTGTTTGTTCATTAAAGCCAGTTCGGCTAGTTGCCTGTCAAGATCGTTCATTTTTTTTATCTAAAATTGTTGGTGTTAGTTTAGATACTTTAATAACACTGTGTGGTGATTTGCAAAACATTAAATAGATATTAACCTTCATTAAAATGTCAACAAATCAATTTGTTTAGAGTCATTAAGAGGTTATCACTATTAATTGTTTTGTTGTGTAAAGATAAGACTTTCATATGTTTTTTTACTAAACAAATGAAGATTTTATAGTTAATACAGACATATCTTGATAAATTGAATGTTTGTTTATTTTTAAGTAAATAAACCTACCTACTTAAAAAGTTCTTAAACTAGTATAGTAAAAATGTAAAATAAAGGTATTTATACTTAAATATTACCTAAAGATAAAATATTTATAACACATTGTTCTTATTAGATATATAAAACTTAATAGTACAGTAAAAATCAATATATTTAGGTTATAAACAACAAAAAACACAATATTAAAGCCAACTCTTATAAAATTTACTTACCAATTAATTATTTCTTGTATAAAACACCTTAAAAATGCACCAATTTAATTAAAAACCAATAAAACCCGACGAAATTCCAAAATTATGTCTCATCAGAGGAGCTTACTAGGTATGCAACCAAACAAACAAATTTTTCCAAGTTGTAGCAGGTTATGCATCATAAAAACTTAAATGGGCGACTGGAAAAAACTGAGTAATCATTCGTAGAAATATACATTCGAAATTAAAGAAACGCGGTTTTTACGGTATTTCATAAGATTTTGATAAGATGAAATTTATGAAATAATCAGAGACTCTGAAAATTATAGTCGAATAATTTATAAAATAAAACCACGCCCTTTTGTGTTAAAATTTATGCTTTAAAAGTTTTACTTTGCCCATTTGTCTATAAGTAATAAATCGTAATTTTATTTGAAAAAATACTCGAAAAAATACAGTTTTTAATTTACTGACATTTCTTTGGTCTGTTTGCAGTGTGTGCCAAAGTGAAAAGTGTACACCAAAGAACACGTTCTTTGGTGAACACTAGAGAGAAACAAAATATGCGTACGGACACGGTGTTGCCAACTTGCGAAAAACAATAATCGTACGGGAAACCACAATACACAAAAACCGGTATGCTGATGCGCATGTTAAGTTCGTTTCATATAGATGCGAATTTCGAAAAATGCTCCCATTGGTCCATTTGATTTGGCGGGAAAAGCGTTTCAAAAGATCCTGCAAATTTACAACATTTGAATCTATGGGGTGGGATTCCCACCGTGGGAATCTTGAGAATGATCCAATATTTTGCGAAAACCGCACTAATTTGGCGTCCCAGCTGACAGTGACACGTCTTATCGACGTTAGTATTCCGTCATTTAGTTAACCACTTTTTGACGTCCTTTTTTCATACATTCTACGTGATATTGAAGTATTCTAGATTGACGTTTTTTAAATCACGTACAGTGTGTGTAATTTTTCGTATTTTAATGACCGGTTTTGGTTTTAAAATTATTATTTTAAAATTATCGTTTTATAAATGAAATTATATGGTTATTTTTCCGTCATTGAATTGACCAATTGTTGACGTCATTTATGATCCATACATTCTACGTAATATCGACATTAGTATTCAGTCATTTAGTTGACCAGTTATTGACGTCATTTTTACCCCTTACCCCAGCTAGCAAGGTTACGTCATTAGGACGACATTTTAAGGTCACCTTTCGTCGGCGACGTCACATGACCAATAAAAGACGGGTTTATGACGTCACATTTCCGACGTCATTTAGACGTTTTTATGTTGCGTCTTTCTGACGTTTTCAATAGGTGATTTTATATCACGTAATAAATATATAATAATACGTATACTATAGTAGGTATAGATCGTACTACCTAATTTTTGAACCCCCTGTAGATAAAATCCCAATATTTTTGTAGATCAGAAAAAATATAAAAAAATCCCTATCATCGATGACACGCAAATCCGTCTATGAACAAATAATTATCCTACATGACAATAACGAAATACTATTTTAAACAAAATATTTTTTAATTTTAAATTTAGTTTTACAATTTCATTGCTGTCAATACCTATATAGGTATTTATATTATTCCGAATAAAAAACAGACAAAAATTCGTGGAACTTGTGAAGTGTCGATACATAGCGGGAAGTAAAGAACGCCGTGCTCGATACCACCAATCACAGACTGTGATTCAGTCAGCTGACTACTGTGAGATCAGCTGACTTTAGTGGCAGGCTGCGATTGCATGATCATTTGTAACCGTCCATGTTTTGCAACGGTGCACTCCCGCGGTGGCGTTCATTCTGTTATTCGGTTAAATTAAGTTACTTAATAACTGTTGTGCAAATCTACAATTAAGTGCAGTAACTGCGGATCAATAGGTAGATTTTACATAATTATTAAATCATTCTTAATTTATTTACCTATACCTATACCTACTAGGTGTTTAAAAGATGTACGCCGTAGTTGAGTTTGCACACGACGAACGTGGTGACGGGGGAATTTCCGCTATCAATACAAAGTGGCTAACTCCTCGCAAAAAAGAAGTTTACTGGCCACCTTATAAACAATAGTGCAAATACGAGAAGGCGCTTTATCACGCATGATAGCTCGAGCTATACATAATGTTCGATTTATGGGATGGTCTACTCTATTAAGTTTATTTATTGATATTTTATAATATATGACATTTATAATATATTTCCTTGTTTTATTTATTACAATAAAATTTATTTAATGACAAATCTTGTACGTCTTTAAGACGTCAGTACTTACGTCATATAGACGTCTGCAAATGTTATTTGTACGTCCTAATATGACGTCAACGGTCTGTGACATTTGCCCGTTTCAAAGACGTGATTTTGACGTGATGTTAAGGGTGAATATGACGTAACTTGTGACCAAAAAATGCTGTGATTATGACGTCACCATGTTTGCTGGGACATTCTACGTGATATTAACGTATTCTAGATTGACGTTTATTAAATCACGTACAGTGTACGTAATTTTACGTATTTTTAATGCCCGGTTTCGATTTTAAAATTAATGTATTATTCCGTAAATGAAAATATATAGTTATTATTCCGTTATTTAATTGACCAAATGTTGACGTCATTTTGTTCCATACATTCTACGTAATATCGACGTTAGTATTCCTTTTTTTTATACATTCTACGTGATATTGACGTTATATAGATTGACTTTTATTAAATCACGTACAGTGAACGAAATTTTCTGTATTTTTAATGACCGGTTTCGGTTTTAAAATTAATTTATTATTTCATAAATAAAAATATATTATTATTCCGTCATTAAATTAACCAATTGTTGACGTAATTTTTGTTCCATAGATTCCACGTAATATCGACGTTACCCAGCAACCCACATAGCACAAGATGTCCTGAGGACATCCGGTTTAAATCCTTTACAGACGGTCGCGACCAGAAAACCGATGGACGTCCTGAGGCCTAGGCCTATGGACGTCCTAAGGCCTAGGCCGATGGACATCCTGAGTACGTCCATCGGTTTTTTGCCTGCGACAATAGTTGAAGATACAAGTTGATATATCACCCTTTATAAAGGCCTTTATAAAAGGTGATATATCAATTTGTATCTTCAACTATTGTCGCAGGCAAAAAACCGATGGACGTACTCAGGATGTCCATCGGCCTAGGCCTTAGGACGTCCATAGGCCTAGGCCTCAGGACGTCCATCGGTTTTCTGGTCGCGACCCGGGTCTAAGTGAAAAAAAATTACACCTTGTTTTTTATTAAAAATACTCCTTAATCAAGCACGATAAAAGATTTTAAAAAAAAGTTGTCAATTTTTTTTCACTTATATGTCTATAGATAGACCCTTTATCCACTTAAGTGGAATTGTGTCTTTAGTTGTCAAGTATTTTTAGCAATTGCAATTTTCCATATCTCTAACTTATTTAAAAATATCTAGTAAAATTAATTAATTCATTGCATTAAAAATATCATTACAAATTTTAAAAAATTATTTTTAATTATATTATATATATTAGGTATATTATATTTTTAATTTGTTGAATAAAAAATATCACATTGGCCAAATTAATAATTTGAATTAATAATATTATATGAGAAATGTATAATACGAATTAAAAATACCATTGGAGAAATTTCTCCACTTTAACATTTAAATTATTTAATTTGTCCTATAATATTTTTAATGCAATAAATTGTAAGAGTTTATTTCAAATTTACCGCCAAATAAACAGTTGGTATTGGAAGTAACCAGTTTAGTGACTTTAAGTTGGCAGTCTGAAATCCGCCATGTTGGCATTGTTCATAAAACAGCGTGTGCTGTTTTTAGTTAGCTCCCTGTTTAGTTAAATTTCTATGTATTTAAATATATGATATAAGTGAAAAACAACTTTTATTATATGGAAAAACCCCTACAAAATTTAAGTTTTCACTTGATATTTTTAAATAATTTAGAGATATGAAGGTATGTGAAATTCAATGGAGAAATAAATAAAAATAGTATTATGAAAGGTTTATTGTTTTAACTTAAGGAATATATGGTTAACGGATTGACCTCCTTTTCCCGGACACCCTGTATATATATATATATATACAGGGTGACCCAGTGCTCTGTGATCGGTCCATATTTTTTTTGCTATTAAAGATATCGATATGAAATATTTATAGAAAATATGATCCAACTAAACCTATTTTTCAAAATTATTTTGAACCAAATTCCACTTCCGGTGAAACCGGAAGTGACATCAACATTGTTATTTCAAATAGAATACCCTGTATATTTTTTGATTTTTAAATTTAATATGTAATTCCTGATAAAATTTCTATAACATTCCCTATACCTAAACTCAATAGTTTTCGAGTTATTAATTTTTTTCGTAAAAATTTGACAGTTGCGCCTTCAACAAAAATAGCCTATAACTTCTTTGTTATTAGGTGTATTGGTATGCGGTTTGGATTTTTGGAGTCTTGAAACATTGTTTTAAATATCCCGTATAAAACTTTGCCATAT